CTTTAAGTTTGCTATAATCTCCCAATGGTAAAATGGTAGGTTGTAGCTCACATACTATCTCCAACAGGATACTTCCCTGGCACTTGTGCTTCGGCCCTGTTGCTGGGGGGTATCATGGCTACGACTAGCTTGGACCAGCTCAGGTCTGGACCAGCTATGACAAGCCAAGACCAGCTTGGACAAGCTATGACTAGCTAAGACCAGCTTGGACCAGCAGACCAAGTGAAAACACTCGGGTACCCATGTTAAAAACGGCCTTGTGTCACAACCTGACTCAGTGGGGGAGTCAAGTAAATATCTACTATATCCAACAGTAATGCAGCTAACATATGATAAAATTGCTATGGGTGTCCTTATCCTCATAATGTGTAATTGTGCCTCCATAATTAAGAACTATGCAATTACATTGGATTCAATGAACATGGGTGATCTCATGGATACTGTTTGTTTCAATTTGCCAACCTTCAAAAATTAATGAAGGATGATAATGACGAGGAAACATATGAGTAATTTTAACAAAAGAATTTATTCACATGCTTGAAATAGTCTCAGTAGCTTGTTTCAGGAAAATAAATCAGAATTCTTAAAGTCTGTAGTTTTAAGATATTATTATGAAGAGGAAATATTCATATAACATATCAAATGATCTGAAATAAATAATATTAAAAAATGTTTAAAACACAGTTAAGAAAGTTTGTTGCTCACTGAAGGGATATATGATTTGCATACTTCCAAAAGTAGATAAAGATAGATAGTTTGAAATACTTAGCTTCCTTGGATTTCTGAGAGAAAATTCTTTGAAGTGCTGCGTGCTGGTTAGAAGCTGATAATATAATTGGTGAGTAATTTTACACTGGCTAGTACTTCAACACTAGTCACAAGAAACTGAAATGAAACCATTCAAATAACTTCAGACACTCTTCTTATTAATTTATTAATTTAATTTTTCTCATCATTTTATATAAAAAATAATTCTGTATATGCTAGCTACTTTCTTTTCTTCTTATTGGTTCACTGGCTAATTTCTGTGAAGGCAAGATTTTCATTGGTCCAAAAACAATTTCACATAGTTTTGCAAATGCCTTTCCTTCTTCTCAGTTCACTAGTTAATTTTTATGAAAGCAAGGTTTTCACTGGCCCAAAAACTATATCTCATAGGCTTGTAAATTTCTTTCCTTCTTCTCAGCTCACTGGTTAGTTTCTGTGAAAGATAAAAATCTCAAATAGGCTCACAAATTTCTTTCATTCTTCTCCTTCAGTACTTTGATTTTGAAGGAAGCGGATGAAGGGAATTATTATTTCACACTCACTACAACTTCACACATATAAAGTTTTACCCATCAAATTTTATTCAAGCCATTTTTTACTAACTGTCTGGTTTCATTATACCAGAGTAAGGAGGCTAATAATTGGAGGCAGGACTTCTGACATCACATGTCTGATGGTCATGTTTAAATTTTGGGTCTTTATGAAATGTACTTTTAGGAGTTTGCTTTCGTTCATTGAACAGTTAACATCATTCCATTTTCCTGAAGTCCACACATGTGGAGAACGGACATTATGTTCACTGCTTTTTGTTGAGTGTAAAAGAGACTTTTGTCTCCATCTTCAGTGAGGCAATTTATTTCAGCTTGTCAGGAAAACCAAAGAAATTAAAAGATTTGTGGTTATTTTTTTTTGTACCTCAGTTCAGACATGCTTGTTCTTGGAGCAATGCATACATTTATCTGTTTTGGGACACATGTAGATCTTTGTAACATTTTTGTATAATATATATACACTTAATAAATGTTTTAATAATGTACAGGTGTTTATCTCATCTTTCATTTCCATTTATTCAGTGTCAGTGTATCAATAGATACACTACTGCTAATATTAGTACCTGGTGAGGAAGAAATGATTAAATATCTTTCCTTGCACCAGATTACCAGTAAATTATGACTGGTAAATAAAATGATACTAATAACAGTTTTTTTTTATTTTATTTAAAGAATATGTGTTAGTAACTTCCTTAAATAAATGTTTTTCAAACACTCCTCTCAAAAGGAAGTGTGTCAGGTCAACCGGAAGTATCCATCTCAAGAGTCAGGAGTCAAATAACTGAAATCAGTTATTTACACATAGGCTTCAATCAGCACTTCCAGTAGCATTGAAAACATTAAAAATATAATAGAAATTATTAATTGACCATTGGCAGCATTTCCCTCATACAAGGGGTCGACACTATTTTTGGGACATTTTGAAAAGTGTGCTTAAAGGTGTTTTTTTGCTGCTGAGAGCTTTTGTGTTGATGAGTAGATAGTTCAGCAGTAACTGTCCATTAATGGTATGAACATTGATTGATGGGTTTGTCTTTGGTTTCATGTTTTCTTTATTTTTACTTCAAATTAGGTGACACTATTTTACAGACATGACACAAATTCCGGGTTTTTTAATGATTTAGTTGTCAAACATCTACAATATGCAAATTTTCTGCAGGTAAATTGTACTCTGACCATTACATTTGAGTATGTTTATCATTCACTGCGAAAACATATTAAAATCCTAAAGAAGAATGCATTCAAAAGAAGTCATCAGTTTCGTCCAAAAGAAGAGAGAAGACAGGCTCAGTATCTGAAAGATTGCCGCTGAGATGAAGCTACCGAAGTCAACAGTTGAATACATGCTAAGTAAAGACTATGAGCGGGAGAAGAAGAAGAAGAGAGGGTGGAAAAAAAACAATTTCCAAGAGAACAGAAAGAAGAATGAAGAGGAGTGTTACAAGGTTGTTATCATCTGGAGAAAAGGTGACAGTGAAGAAATAAAGGAGAAGTGTGAACTTGACGTCAGTGTTCAAACTGTACAAAGAAAGCTACATGAAATTGGACTTAAGTATGCTAAAATCAAGAAAAGAATTACACTAACGAGAAAATATAAGCAGGCAAGGCTGGGAAGCACCAAAAGATGGATAACAAACCATGCTGACTTCAAGAAAGTGATATTTACTGATGAAAAACGTTTTAAGTTTGATGGACCTGACAGGTGGTGTACATGGTCGAGAAAAGGTGAACCTGTTATTCTCAACAAGAGACAGATGGGAGGAGAAGGAGTCATGGTTTGGGGTATGGTATTTCCGAATGGAAACTTGTGGCTCAAGTGGTTAAAAGGACGTCAAAATAGCTTGAGCTACAGAGAACTTTTGGAAAAGAGAGCCCTACCACTCATAGAAAAAAAAATGGGAAGTAATTTTATTTTGCAGCAAGATAACTGCAGCATCCATGTGGCCAAATCAGTGAAAAATTGGATGTGTGAAGCAAATATAACTACTCTGGAATGGCCTGCAAGAAGTCCAGACTTAAATTTAATTGAAAACATATGGGAAATGCTTGCAGAGCTTGTTTACGATGGGCCAGAAAAAACCAGAGAGGCTGAACTGTGACAGCGCATACAAGATGCTAAAAATAGACTGCTAGAAACACAAAGAGACGTTATTATCAATATGTACGAACATTATGAGGATAGACTGATAGAAGTCATTGAAAAAAGGGGTGCTGCCATAAACTATTAGCATTGTTTCTGCAATGTCCGAAAAATACTGTGACCTGTGTAATGTGAAAAATTGTAAAAAAATAAAAATACTTCTAATTTGAATTCTGCTTTTCCATTTGTAGCATTGAAACAGTTTTTAAATGTTATTGCCATTACACTAAAACAGTACAAACTGCCTGTGCTACCTAAAACTTGAAAAAATAAAGTGTCTGAAAAATAGTGTCGGCCCCCTGTACTTTCAAGGGATTTTTTGTAATCTAGCACCTACTTAAGGGAAGCTATAAATACAGACCATAAAGCAAACAAGGACCAGTTGGTGAATAGATTCCGTGTTGTCAACTTAAACAATTTACTAATCCATTGAAATATTTCACACTTCATTAATATAGATTCTACAATGAATCCAAGGTATGAACTTTTCCCCTTTCAAGGAGTTTTATTAAACACACCTAAATGTGTGTTTTGTCTTAGAACTTTTCCATTTACATGGTTATATTAAACACACCTCAATGTGTGTCTTTGTACCTTTCCATTTTCAGGAGTTTATTTAAACACAGCTAAATGTGTGTATATTATCTTTCCTCTTTTAAATGTGTATATGTGAACTTAGCCTTCTTTTCAAGGGTCTTATTATATCATCACACAATGTATAAAATATCCAAATAAATTGTTATTTGTCGATAAAAATCTTTATCTTCTTTTTCATTTTAAATTCACTTGCCTTTCTTCATCATTGTGTTGTACGTTGGGTTAAGATTGCTTTATTCCGGACATCACCCAGAATAATTAGTAATCACTGCCACTATCTTATATGAGTTAGCCACAAGAACCAAACACTTTCTATTCCCCATAAATTAACTAGTTCTATAACTGCTCCTGAGAAAGTCAGCGCCTGTAATGAGTCTATTGTATTATTTTTTTTATTTAACCTTTAATTATTTTTGTATAATTTTACATTATTTTTTATGATATAAATGTTTATATTTTCCAGCAAATACAAATTGAAAATTTTTAGAATCTACTCAAACCAAGAACGATTGGTTGAAAATTCTTTTTTTTATATATATCTTGCGATGTGTTTCCTACTACATCCGCAAATTTCTAATCAGGGTTTTTTTTTTCCTGGTGACTATATTCAGCCTTATTTTGTGTGGCTTTTTGATATGTCCTAAGAATCTTTACACGTATATTATTTTAATTATTCAATTTTGAATGTTACTACAAGCTGATTCGCACAAAATTACACACAGTTTTGGCCTTATGCCAAAACTAAGTAAACTTAGCACCTAAAAAATCTGTTCAAGAGAGATAAGCAAGAATAATGTAAGGGAGATAACTGACGCATGTCTGTGTCGGTGATTGTGATTGGCTTTCAATTTTACTAAGCGTTAAACTCGTGGTAGTTTTCTTTTATCAATTCGTTGTTTGTTTCGGCTCTTTCTTCTGAAAAAACGAAAACAAACTTTAAGCACATGGTCAAACTTACCAACTTTCCGCCGCCTTCCGAGGGCATTCACTGTGAACAACCTGATGTCGAAGCATATATTAAACGGAAAAACATAGGTCCAGGAAAACTCTATGTTGCTGAAAGGTAAGAAAATTCAAGAAAAATGTTTTTCATCTCTTAACAAAAGTTATTTTATTTGCTTTCTTCATCGGTTTCCCAGTAGCCGAAAAAACGGATAGGATAACGACTAAAAACTCAATTTGATTATAGATTTGCAATTTACATTCGGCAAAAATGTTTCATTAAAAAACTTATAATTATTCTATTTTCCCCCCCAAAGATTTCTATAAATCACTTCTACTCTGTGTACTTTAACCGAACGGTAATTCATATTTTTTTGGAGGGTGTGTAAAAAAATCTTATTTCAAGATTACTTTTTTTTTTTTTTTTTTGTTTTTCTTTTTTTGCAATTGAGAATTTCTAGCAAATTGCATTTTTAAATTTTTATAACTTGAACCACACTCGGCAGTTTTTTTTTTTTTTTTTTGACGGCCCTTAAGTTTAAAAAGTAAATCAAATCAGACAAGTAATTTTTGTTTATTTTTTCGTTAGAATAATTGACATGGCTGTTTTAACTAACACACCTCTTTTCAAGAACTCCATAAATAAAAAAAAATTAAGCGCTCGTCAATTTGTTTTATTTTAGTCTTTTCTGCTCAGACTTTACCTTTCCTGTTTTTCTACACAATCAAGAAGTATTGTTTCAAAGTATGTGTGATGATGAAAAATAAAACCTTCGTCTTCAAAAACCGAGAAAAAAAAGTTTGACTTCATAGTGTTATCTTTGATTTTAAATCACAAACAAAACGTAAAAAAGAACAAATCCTGTTTTTAAACTTTTTAGCAACGCTTAAATAAAAGTGACAAAAATGGTTCGTTAAGTCTTCAACTTGCAGACCCATTATACCCCATAACCTTTAAATTACATTCATCAATTTCTTCAAAGTAATTAGATTTTTAACGTTGCTAATAACCTGACTGGTAAGGGCCACTTAAATTCCTTAAACCAGTCATTAAAATCTTGTGAACCTAAAAATGGTTTTGCTCTTTTTTTATTGCTTGCTGACTTGATTGACAAAACTATGGGGTATTTTTTGACTATTTTTACGGCTATGACAAGTCACAAATATCTGTGACAAAAAAATTAATTTCGTAAGTTGACATTCTGACGGGTAGAATGAATCGATTGAAGTATCTGTATACCTGATACCTCAGTGCAAGCAGCAAGCATACCATGCCTGTGTATAAATAATGAATGCTGAATTAAAATTAAAAATTAGTGACTTGTTTCTTTTTGCCTTTGATATGTATAACTGTTAGAAACATTTTTGTAGGAGGGTGCTTAACAGTAGTTTCTACTGATTTAATTCGTTCGGCAGTTTCCTTTTTGAAAACTTGTCAGAATTTCTTTACCTAGCAGTTTTAAAAAGAAAAAAATATGTGAAAATTGAGATGTTTCAAAGGAAACAAAAACCGTCAAAAAGTTGGATCAAAAATTAATTTCATGTTTAATTCCGTAGAAAAGAAGCACTTTTTTTTTTAAACGTTGATCTTTTACTTTTATGATGAATGTGGGGACTTACTTGCTTTTATTTATAGGCAGACGGAAAATAAAAATATTTGTGGCACTATATTAATCACAAATTCTGATTTATCTAAAATATGTCCATAATCAAACATGTTTAATGCTTTTAAAAATAAATATGCACAAACGTGCAGAAATCGCGCCATGTGCTGTAAAGGGAAATAATCGAGTCGCCTATTTGTCATAATTTCTGAATTTATTTTCAACTCTTTATTTACCATCATAACTTCTTTAATCAGATTGCTTGTAATTAAATTAATAAATATGTTTGGTCAGGATTTAATTTCTGCTGTCAGCCAAAGCTGGATTTTGGCCAATTGATACCCAAAACTGAAGCCCAAATCAAACATTGGTACGTCCGCTGCTGAATTGATAGGAAATAAATTTGAATTTTTTTTCTTCCCAATCAGATCACAATTATTAATAAATTTAGTGACTTCCACAAAAAACACCAGACCTAGGGTTTAAAATGAATTTTTAAAAATGAAAAGTCTTTCTTGAACCTTTTAAATTTCCAATAAACAAAATACTTTGTATTTCAAAAACTTTAAATTGACTGGAAGGAGTTTTTTTTTTTTTTTTTTTTATAAAATAGCTAATTAATTAGCGCTCCTTGTTTAGTTGTCATTTATCGCACTGTAATTCTCTTTATTAAAAATACTTTTCTGAAACTTTGAGGAATATTAGCCGGTTTAAAATGTTTGAAACGAACATTATGTACTTTAAAAATTATATCGCAGAAATGTATTCTGACAGAAGCTGTTTTGACGTGTTGAGTTGACAGACTCATAAATGTTCTACAGAGATTTTCTGTAGTAAAATAATTGAAGAAAATGACGTTAGCGCCCTTTTTACATAATTTTTTAAGTATTCAATGATCTTAAAAATTAAAAAAAATATTTTCCATAATGTTTTATTGTTTAGTATAGTTATCGCTCTTATTTTCTGATAATGTTTATGGTCGTCTGTACTTACAAAAATCGGCACGTTTATAAATATACAAAGAAAATTAAAAATTCTCTTGAAAATATTGGTGTTTGATTAGGTACCTCTATGAGATCACTAAAAAAAAGCATAGTATGATGAAAAAGACGCCAAATTTGACGAAAACAAAACTTTATCGTTTGTTTGTTAAAAGAAAAGATCAAAGAATTTTGGGGGTATTTTTTTTATATTTTTTAATCGTTCCTAGCACGTCCAAATTTTCGTTTAAATTTTTTTTTTTTTTTTTTTTTTTTTGAGTCAGCAAAATTGACAGATAATCAGTCATATGTCAACCATTTTTTTACATTTTATAAAAATATGAAAATCTCAGTTTGAAATTCTTTTAAAAATCAGTTATAATTTTTTCAAAACTTATTTTAAGAAAATCAGAAGTTATGTTTATTTAAAATATTTTGAAACCAGCATTACTTAGTTTCTGTGCTGAAAAGATGTAGTTTAAAAATAAAACAAAACAGGTCATAACATTTTGTCACTTGACAGGTGATGAATGACAATTTCATCACATATTGACAGTTTATGTGAGGATAAGTTATTCTATAGAAGGAGAGAAGTGAAATTATTTAAATTTAAGTGAACAAATTATTTACCTCATTATTTTTAAGGAAAACTTTCAATGCTCTAATTTTTTTTTTTTTTTGTACTTAGCTTTCACTTTTTATGTTTATGATGCTTTATGGAAAATATATCAAAGAAATTAAAATAAGACTGAGAGTGAGATTAAATTTCATAAGAAAAGTATCTAATTAATTTATAGGTACCTTTTTTATGAAATTTTATCAGAAGTGTACATGAAATACTATAATTTTATGTACATTTATTACATTTTACTGTGTTATTTTTATTTTCATTCATTTTATTATTAATGTTGATATTTCATTTATGGAAAAATGTCATAACTGAGATTTAATCAGATTTTAAATAAGATCATGTAAATTTCGTAACATGATAGTGATACTTGTAGGTACCCTTCTCAGTTGAAATTGAAAAATTAAATTAGCTTCTCCACACATGTTTCGCAAAAATAAAGTCCTTAACTGGAGAACAATGCCTAACTCAAATAACACAACTTAATTGTATTCTTGCTGGTCTTCTATACTTTATAATTACAGCCATATTGTAAACACAAAATTACATTTCTTAATTACTGCGGGTCTTCTGATTGGTCAAAATTATACAATTTACAATGCGCTAAAAAAGATCTATCTCATGAGGACATTTACGAAACTGAACGTGGCTTTTAACTAATTTTATAATATTTTTACAACTTAAATGTAAAAATCTGATATAATTAAGGAAATAACAAATAATTGTATTAAAAATTCATTTTTCATCAAAAAAATTTTTTGCTTTCAGAAAATATTGTCCATATTCATAAAAACAACTAAAAGCAAATAAAATCATTTGAAATTAAATAATATCTTGGTTTTATTGAGTTTTGTATGTTACACTTCAGAGCTGATTTTCAGGTGGGGGGGTCCAATTAAAAACAAAAAATACATGATTTGCTTTCCTCAAAGCCTTGTGGTTTAAATAATATAATCACTAAACTGAATGTGATTGAATTTCTAGAGTTTTCATAAATTTAGTTATGGGGACAGTAATAAATATAAAAAAAATATTTTTTTCCATGACTTTAAAAAAAGAAAACATTTATAATAATTTCCATCATTTGTGAATAGTTTCTGAAAGTTAACACCCTACAATTATTTTTATTTTTGCAAGATTTTCCAAATTAATGTGTCATACAAAAAAAATGTGCTAAAAATTTATTTTACTAGTTCCAGTGATACAAAGAGAAACAAGGCTTTTTTAATCAAAATTTAGAATGTTCTAAAAAGAAGGAAAAATTTTTAAAAGTTCCTCTTAATAACATAAATTTTTATACAATAAAATTTTGTTTTCGTCAAGTTTGGTGTCTTTTTAGCAATCTCATGAACATACCTATAAACCTTTCCATTTATGATTAGTATAGTTTTCACTTAATATAAAAGCTGAAATTAATATGTAATTTTAAGATTTAAAACAATAAATTTTTCTAACTCAAATTAAAACAATTCTTGTAAAATTTCCTTATTCATCAAACTTATTTTCCTTAAGACAATAGTGTATTTGTTTATAAAAGCAATTAAAACTTTTCTAATTAAATGTAAGTTTTATTGCAGAGCAGATTTTTGGTAACTGGTGGTCCTGTTTTACAAAAAGAAATTGATTTGAATTCAAGTATTTCTGCTTTTAACTAGGTATCTCCACTAACTTGTTAAAAAAGAGCATACCATGATGAAAAAAGGCTCCAAACTTGATGAAAATTTTTTTTGTCAAAATGTATGCCATTAAGTATTTTTTGGTTATTTTTATGAAATTTTTTTCATCCTTTTTAGGACATTCAAAATTTTGATTAATTTTTTTTTTTTTTTTTTTTTTTTTTTAGTCAGTGGAATAACATTAAAAAGCTTGTCTTAACTATGTTGACTTGTTTTGGAGGTGCTACTGTTAACATACAGTTAAATCGATGTATTGACGGCTTAGGTCAGGGGAAGTTATTGAATGGAAGAACAAAAGTGACAATTTTTATTTTAATCTTAAGTGAACTAATTTAACTACATAGTAATTTTTAAAAATTAAATACTTTCAGCAATCTAATATTTTATTTTATTTTTATTTTTATTTTTTTTTTTTTTTTTTTTTTAAAGGTACTTTAACATTATAGCCTTAGATTTAAAGATGATTTCTGGAAAAATAAAATTTAAAACTTCATAACTAGAGAGAGAATTTCCTAAGAGGTACCTAATTTTTACATGTTTTATGAAATTTTTATGGTATTATTTTTTTTATTATTAATTTTTATATCTGTTATGAAAATATTTCACAGATACCTCTCTCACTTTTAAGAAAAGTTTTTTTTTTTGTTTTTTATAAGTGTTAATTTTTAATTTTCCTTATTTTAAATATTGTTTTGTTTCCGTCCCTAGAATTGAAACTAAAAGAAATTAATTAATTGCAGTATGTCTTACTGAAAAAAATTAAATAGAAATATCTATTGAAATAGGATGTAAAAAAAAAAAAACGGACTTTTGAAAATGCTACAATGATGGTCAGTCAGAATTCAACACATATTTGCACATAACATTAAGCTAACTTACAATCCTCCTTATATTTGATAAAAAATTTAATGAAAACTCAAAAACAGTGTAAAAATTCTTTTTTAAAATATATGTGCATCACAGATTGTAATAAGCTTTCAAATTTATGATCTGTAAAGATAGATCTACTTAAAACAGCATTCCCTAAACTGCATGGAATGAAACTTAATTTTAAAATATTTAACAACTTTATCATATTTTGTATTTAAAATTGAAAAAAAGAAAATAATTCTTGTAAAAATTCATGTTTTTCATTAGAAAAATATTTTGGCTTCAGACAATAGTGTCCTTAATATATATTAATCATAAAAGCCATTAAAAGCTTTCCTAATTAAATAATATCTTAGTTTTATTGGGTTTTGTATGTTACAATTCAGAGCTGAATTTTTGGTTACTGTGTAATTCGGTTTAAAAAAAAAAAAAAAAATGACTATTTATATTCTTCAGCCTTCTGCTATAAAAGGCATGCTGTCAAATTTCTAGAGTTTTCATAAAAAAAATAGGTGGGGGTGTAACAGATGTAAAAAAACGAAAAAAAATTTTTACTATGACTTTCTAAAAAAAAAAAAAAAAAAAAAGGCCTAAAATAATTTCATTCAATTCTGAATAAGCTCTGAGAGTTCCATTAAAATGTGACAATTATTTGATTTTTGCAAGAATTTCAAAATCAGTGTTTTTTATCTCCATACCCTCACCTAGCACCATGTTTGCTAGCTCAATCATGTCCTGCAACAATCTGATGATCACCCTACCTGAGTCATCTGTCTGTTTGACCTGCTGTCTGCAAACTGGTGATGACATTGCAGCAGACCAAATAACCACTGGAAGGATAACCTCTGCAGGGATCTTCCAGTAGATTAATCTGATGTTTGATGATAATTTGATGCTCTGCTGAAACCATGGTTCAGTCTTCATCTTGAGCTATTTCTATAGCTGACAACCATACAAATCTGACTTACAATTCTTTAGGAGTGCCTGCAGTTTTCTTCCTATGCCTGCTATCAACACTGTGTCATATGCATATCTTATGGTGTTAAAATTATGTCCGCTAATAAAAATCCTCAAGATCTCCTCTCTGTAAATGTGGAATAAGTCCAATGAGAAAATAGATCTTATACCTGTTTCTATTTTTTTTTTGTGCATTTGCTAAATTCATTTTCTATCCATATGCAGGTGGTTTGCTCCCAGTATAGCCTCTGGATTATTTTAATATCTTTCCCAAATAAATTGAGCTTACATATCAGTTCAAACAGTTCTTTGTGTTGTACTTTATCAAAAACTTACATAATCTATAAAACGTAGGTATACGTTTTTCTGCATTCATATTGATCTCTATAATTGTGAGCATAAATATTGCATTTCTTGTTCCAGTGTCTTTAACACAATTGCACTGTTCTTATTTCTGGTCTAATTCTGCTATACACTTTATTCATCAAAATTTAAGTAAGTTTTATTATGCAGTTAGGTTGATTAACTGATGGCGCTCACATTCATTTACATTTGGCTTCTTAGGCAACACTATGAAAATGGATCTATAGTCCAAAATCTGAGTAAGCATTAGATTTTGTTAATACTCAAAATACTTTCTTTTGGAGGGGGAGGGGGGAAATGGACAATGCATAACTGTAACTAGGACTATTTTTTAACTTAAATATTCAATATCTATTCCACAAATTTGTTTTGAAGAAAAATTGTAAATTTACGGATTAATTACATTTTGTAAAAATATTACTTTTATGTCCTCATTTGTCAACATGTTCAAAGCTCAAGAAATTATCTTAAATGAGCAGGAAAAAAATTGTCGATTAGTTTTTGTTGTGATCCTTTCAAGTTCGCAGATTAATTTCTTGGTAAATTTAGAAAATTAAGAAAAATACCAAAATTTTCTTTCAAATAGTTTTTATTTTTCCAAGTACTTTCAATCTTATCTGAGACAATCTTCAGTTGGTTGTCTGAGTGTTTGTTTCTGTAAATTCAAAGCATTTCAAAAGTTCATGTGATTTTTTTCTTTTTCATTCTTTCTTCTCTCTCTAGTATAAGAGAAGTAGTGTTTCTATTTATGCTCATTTTTTTTTTTTTTTTTTTTTTTTTAACTTTATTTATTTTGGGCTCTAATTCTGGCTTGAAGGAGTTTTTGCTTATTGCTTTTATATAATATAGATGTAATTTCAACTAATATGTATCTAATCTGGGTTTGCATGTGTGGGAGGAGCAGGGTAAATTGCAATGAACACGTGAGAGTGAGTTCCCTCTAATGTTCCATAAATATTGGTTATAGAAGCCTATAAAGAAATTCAGACTACAAGTCACCATTAGGAGAGGAAATGCAGTATGGCCATTCAAACTGCCCAAAGAGTCCTTTTCATCAGTTCCAATAAATGTAGTTTTACTCATTCCAATTTTTTTTTTAAATTTAAAAATTGAGTTTTAAGGCTTTACAATAAGCATCTGTTTGGAAAATTGACCACTGATTCCTTTTGTATAACAAGTTTCAAAGTTTTGATGTTGTCAGTCCTTTTCGGGCAAGTCAATAATTGTATAAATTAACAAAATTTTCAAAAAATCAAATATTTATGAGAAGTTTTAACATTATAGACAAAAGAACTGTTTTATTGAATTCTTCATCCAAAAATGAGTAAAGTTTCAGGCTTGCATCCCCACTGGATACTTTTTTACAGCAAGTTCAAGAGGGTATATTTTTTAACCTACTATCAAATTTTCCTTCCACCTGTACATATTTTTTTTTTTTTTTTTTTTTTTACTGATGTACTCCTGTGAAAAACATTTAGCATAATCTCTAAGATACCATGAAACATTAAGTTTCAATGGCTTAACTATAGAATTGAAATTTATATAAATGGTCAAATTTGTCTTCCTGTGCTATTTTTGCACTGTTTTTAGGACAGTATGTGAATAAACCCCTCCCCACCTGGTGTAGGCTGGTTTTATTGAGTAATTATTAAATCCATTAGTATTATTTTTCTTTTATGACATTGCATTTATAATGATTTTCCACTTGTTTGAAGTCTGCATCTTCACATAGTTAAAATGGGCTTCTGGCCCAATCATACTCAAGACAGAAAATCAGATGAAATTTGACTGGTCATGACTTTGTTGCTAATTGAGCTAGTAAGATAAATTTGGTACATTTTTGCATGCTGATACTTTTTATATGTATATTTTTTTTTCATCTTGAGAAAGATGATCATTACAAAAAAAATTTTGCTTATTAATAAAACCATATGCTCAGATTTGGTGATTTATTATTTTTTAAAAAGGAAAGTGAAGATGTAAAATATTCTCTACATTCTTGATAAACTCTTTTTTTTTTTTTTTTTTTTTTTTTTTTTAACAAGTCGACTCTCATGGGTTGGAAATGAAAATGGCAAAGGGTTTTCTCTGGAGTACCCTGCGATTTCAGTTCATGGAGTTTCCAAGGACACAGTCAATTTTCCTCATGAATGTATTTACATGATGATCAATTGTTTTATAGGTAAGTCTTGTTTTATTTTTATTTTTTTTCTCTTTAGTTATTCAATACATAGCCTGAAAATCTTATGTTATTTGAGAAATGTCTGTAGATTTCTAAATTTGTCTTTTAGAATTGCAAGGAGGACTATTTATCCATTTTGTAAAATGGCTTGATGGTATATTAATGAAGATTCTATTTAGAAAACTGATAAGTACCTTGTAAAGGCAAAAACCATGTTAGATTTTTATGTAATATTTAATAAAACTGTAACAGAATTTTTTGGTTTTGATAGAAATTGATTTAGAAACCATCATCTATATTGTAATGTTTGCACAGACTAGGAGTTAAAAAATCTAAGTAGGTATCATGGTATGTCCTAATTTTGCCTCTTATATAAGAAAGCAAAATATTTCCCAAACTTTTGGGCATTTTTTAATTTAGATCTATGTGTGTGGAAGGAAAAAAAATTGAATCTTGTCTGATTTTTAAGGATTTATTAGCATACTTGTTCTGTATCTGAAATGTTCTAGACACAAGCAAAATTGCCAAAAAGTCATATGAATCAGCTATGACAACCAAATGTTGAAACAATTGACACTCTAAATTTAAAAAGCTCCAAAAATACACAAATATCCTTGGTTAATCAAATGTTACTATCACTTAGTGGCTGTAAGTTCATTCGTTGAATTAGTTAATATGAAATCAACTCAGCAGTAACAAACAAAATATGGCACCACAAAGACAATACTACAATACTCCACACAAGTAGGATATTGCATATTATGAACTCCCTCTTAGGTATGACAATAAACTGCATCCAGCAGCAAGGTCTCTCATCAGATTTTGAAGAATGTGGAACCACCTATTAATTGCTGTTGTACCCAGGTCCACCCTGAACCAGGGTGGTAGCACCTGTTAGGGTCCCAGTTATGAGTAAATAGTTCCCTCTTCCCAAAACTGGTGTCTAAATACTAAGTGTAAAGATTTGTTATTATAATAAAAATACCAGCAATACAAATTGTAATATATAAAGTGCACATCCACAAAAACTGATTCATAAAAACTACAAATTCTCCTCAATGGGGCCACCTGTTAGCAGTGAATGGCAACCCGTGATGCCTGTGGACGGAGTCCTGGTGACTGAGTGACTCCTGATCCTGTATTAAATGACCAGGTGTGTCCACAACATGTCACTTCACTCCTTACCTGGGATACTTGGGTAGATATGGTGGGGGGAATGCAGGTGCTTGTATCCACTTTCATCACGATTATACCATCTGCATAACCCTGGCAGATCAGGGCGAATGGGACTAGTCCCCACCCAATGGTGTCCTTTAAGTAGGAACTCCAAGGTTAGTGGGAAGCACAGACAATGAATAAAAAAATTAAAATTATACGGCTATCTCTTATAAACAAACCAAAAGACAACAGTGAAAACGAAATATCGGGTGGGGGGAAGTTTACAACTTTCATGCTTATAGAATAACTAGAAAAATAATACTTTTAATTCAAGTAAAAACCAAAACACATAAAAAATTACTAAAAATCAAGCAAATTAATAACAATAAAGTAAAGGCTTACCCCCACCAATTTCTTAATTCATCTCAGGGAGTAATAAAATGACCAGAGCTGTCACTCTGCTCACTGGAAGAAATTAAAAATGATGACACCAAGGAGTAACAGATGTCAAAAGAATTCAAATAAAAAGATGACACATCAATAAATGCACACACATACATTTTGATATTCGACAAACCTACACTACCTAAAGAAATAAAGATAGGATACTCAATAGCCAAGGTAGAGCCATACATTCCTAATCCCCATGTATGTCACAAATGTCAAAAATTTGATCATCTACAAAATCGTTATAAGAGAGCATCAGTCTGTTGAAGATGTGAGAAACTTTAGTTGGATCATGAAGAGTCACCTTGTGAAAGGGCTCCTTTATGTCCAAACTGTAAAAAAAAAAAAAATACTCAGCAGACTCTAAAGAGTGTAACATCTAGAAAGAGGAAATAATAAGAATAAAATACACACAAAATATCTTGTTTCAAGAAGCCAGAAAACAGGTTGAATCTTATTTACTTCCGACATCATATGCAAATATTGCTAAAATATCAAATCACCAAAAGGACATCAAAGAAAGCAATGCAATAAGAAGCCAAGATCTTTCAACTCTAATAAATTAATTAAAAAGTCTACTAAAATGTAGTATATCACACATAAATCAAACTCCTATAGACAAAACAAATCCTATCAACCTCAAAAAAAAGAGAATCTATATGTACAAAACAATTAACTCCAAAAATCACAATCCAAAGTACAAAAATCTTTCAAGAACCATCTAAACATTCCCAAGAGAATCAAAAGTGCTTTAAAAAAATCAACACAACCCAGTACATTGTTGAAGAACCAAGCTAAATGGACATAGATGAACAAAACACTATCACATCTCAAACAAGGCAATGGGTCATCATCCAAACAAAGATCGTCAAAAAAAACCTAATGGAAAATCTAAGGAAACAAGATCAAACAAACAAGCAGAAACAAAAGACCTTCAAAGAACAAACATGACAAGCGACAAAGCGCTAATAGTCTAGAGAACATAGAAATTATGGACACTTTGTCCACTAAGCATAAATCGGACAAGCAAAAATACCCTTAACACCCGGAGTCAAAACACTGAAAGTGTAAAAGTGGGTTTTAATACCAGAAATAAATTAATGGCAATGAATTTTTGAAGGAAAATTATTACTATCAATACATTTAAAAATATATATATATATATATATATATCTCCACCTATACTTTTTTGAAAAAATATTGCCATCAATAAAAATTTTGGTGTTAAATAACCCATTGAGGTTGTTTTATGATGTCAACAAATACTCATTGTTACTTTCGTAATGCTCGTTGTAGTAAAGCCTTTGTAATCACAGATACAACTATAGTACGCCATTGAACAATGCTGGTGTCAGTCCTTCAAACATCACTCATACTAATAGTACTTGGTCAATAATACTCGCTTGAATAGTAATCTGTATAGTGATCCGAATAAAGTAGAGAATAGCAGTCCTTATAGTAAGAGGATAGTAGAAATGCAGATCCGTATAGTGATAGAGGAGAAATAACGATCAATTAGACACAAGCTACCTCCCATATATGCATTTCCTCTATGGTCACATGGTCTACTTAATTCAATAATGGGATTGCCTGTGTTTCTTCACTGGCGATCTATGTTCAAATTCAAGTGTCGTCAGTGACACTTTATTCCTATATAACGGGTCAATGTGCCGTCAAACCTAACCAAACCAAAAATAATAGACGCCTGAAGATGGCCAGGAAATATGTGGTCAAAATGTTGTCTGTAATGATGAAAGATGAGAGGTTAAAATATATCAGAAGACAATGTATGTTATATTTATTTGTAATTTAAATGTTTTTTGTGTTGAAGTTAGGTTTTGTGTTAAATTTTTTTTTTCTTTGTTTATTTAACAAATGTTAGATAAATTTTCTTTAAATATTTAATATTTATATATTTGGATGGTAATTGTCTTTTAGTCTCTATTCTGCTCACGTAAGTGAACCTTTCAGACTGCCTCCATTGTGTAATGAGTGCATAAACACATAAAATCTAGGTAGACTATATTGAATTTCACTTAAAAATAATATATTGCCTAATGCTTGTTCAAATTGGTTTAATTTTTCATTTATTAATTTAGATGACGAAAATGATGCTGGCTCTGATGAAGAGGATGATCCATTCACAGAAATCCATCTTGTACCACATGACAAAGCAGCATGTAAGTTTTCTAACATTGGTAAATATTTTAACAGTTAATGGCTTTATTTACTTATCAGGAAGAAATAGTCTGAATGACATCAACTATCATTTTGGGTAATACAAATCTTTGGTACCCCTTGAATACATGACTGAAAATGTCATAAATTTTCAGAAAAGGCACGGGGAAGCTACATTATAACAATGAGAAAGTGACTGGAGGTGAAATGCCAGGTCATGACCAACAACATTACAGATTCTTTGGATTTTATCAAGATTCTCCAAATATATAATGGTAGTACCAAACCATGTGTGGCAACAAGATTCAAAGAATGTATGACTAGTAGACTTATAAATATGTAAGATTCTAGAGAGAAATTATTTAACACAATGCAGTGAATCGACATTCCTAGCAGCAGACCCAGTGACTTATTCAATATAATCTTTCCACTTCATGTCAGCAGAAGATGTTAGCTTTATGAGGTGAGGTGCAGCAATCTTTCCTAGAGGTTAGCATCAGCCATACTGATGGAAGGTAGAAATCTCTCAGATGATTGACAGAGCAGTTTTATTTTGGAGGCATTAAAATTAACAAACCATTTCTTGCCCCAGTTAACAGCAGATTGTAGGTAATTTTTGAGATCAGCTGCTACTTTTGACTTTATTGAACTGATCAGACTTGCTATTAAGATAGTAAATAGTTGTATCATCAGCATAGATACCAAGTTGAGAACTTGTCATCAGAAATGTCATTGACGAAAATTAGGAACAGCATAGGTCCATGGATAGAACTCTTGGACACTTACATTACTGCAGAAAGATCTAGAAGATTGCCCATTTGGGACAACTTTCATTCTGTGATTTGATAAGAAAAACTGAATTGGTTCAAAAATTTGTCCAGGAATATCATAACCTATAAGACCAGTATGTCAAACCCTGTCAGATGCTTTCATAGACTTTTAGACTTTTAAAACGGCAATTGACCTAGAGAAGTGAAAGAGGACCCTGAGATATGAGATGCTTGACCAATTCAGAGTTGATGAAGGCCTCTAGTACTTTGATAAATAGAGGTAGATGGCTAATAGGCCAATAGTTGGAAGGATCATACAGTTTACTAGAATTCTTAAAAACTGGAACAACAGATTTCCAACTAGCTGAAAAGCAAAAAGCAGCCACACATTTATTGTAGAGTTTATTTTACTTTAAATGTCAATTGAAAGGTGACATTTAAATGACATTAAATGCATCTTTCAAAATTTAGACAAGTACTATTTTCAATTGGACTGATTTAAAGGTGGCAATTGATGAAAAGCATTTATGAATTGGCTAATCAGAAGTGTCATCTTAGAAAAACACCAGACCTCATATCTCTTTGCAGACTTGACAGAAATTCAACAGCTGGGACGTCATACTACACTTGCCATACGTAGCTGATCTTGCAGCTTGGGATTATCACTTATTATTTTGATTTCTGCAGAATTCTCCTAAGAGGAAAAAAAAAAAACTTCCAATTCTCCAGAAGTTTGTTTTTTTTTGTTTTTTTTTAAAAAGACCAGTTTACCAATCGGAAAGATAACTTCTGGAAGGATGGAATCGTGAAACTGCATCATAAATGGTAATGGAACAAAATGGAACATATATGATTGGATAAATCTATGTACAGATATCTAAATCTTGTCTGAAATTCACTTACAAAACACTACATGTTTTTTCTCTTCAATATAAAACTGTCCGCAATTATTTAAACTTCATTTTTGCAAAAGTATTTTTTTAATATTCAGGTATGCTGTGCACTATCCAACAAAATGCAAGTCTTTTCAAGATAAATTTTTAAATTTAGTAATTTCAGTATTAGATCTGAATTTAGACATTAAAATATTGAAGTTCCTGCAAGTTTTATGTATTTGAAGCAACTACTTTTAATTATTAATAAATGATTATTTTTTGTAGTGAATCCAATGTTCCAGGCCATGTCCACATGTTCTGCTCTTCATCCAGATGAAAACCAGGAGACAGATTCTGAATTTGAAGATGTTGAAGAGGAGGAGGGAGGAGAAGGAGGTTAATTTTGTTCTTCTTTTATGATTAATCTCTCACTGATGTGTTTGTAGCCTTAAAACATTTGATAGTTTGAATTGTAGTTATCCTAAAAAGAGCTTCAATTGACAAAACATCATTCTAGTAGAGATTGGGAACACCACCTAATATTTCAAGTGCTTTTTTTAGATAAATATTGGGTAACTCAAAAAGTTCGTTCTGTTTTTGCCATTAAGAGTTTAGATTGCTTTTTTTCACTACATGCAAAAAGTTAATCTTTTCTGTTGTGACATGTGTGTGCATTTTTTTAATTTTTTTTTTTTTTTTTTATTTCAATCATGAAAATTCCAATTTTTGTGGATTCTAAAATTGGATATGGCAGAATATAAGCAATACTTTTTGCTTTTTTTATCTCTGATTAAAATGTCACTCAAATGTAAGAGAACAAAGTGTGCGGTTTATGAAGAATCTACTGAAAATGTTCTCCCTTGTCAAGTGTTTTATACTGGAGACTACTCGCTGATGCTTCATGGCTAAATAGACCATTTGAGGATAATAGTGATTCATTACTTGAGAAGCATCAACATTGAGATCAAAAATATCCACATCAAGCATTGAAAATCATTTGTGACAGGCAATGAAAATTGTGTACTTTTTATAGTAGTGTGAAATAAGAGGGTTCATAACGATCTAACTGAACCCCCACAAACTAAAGTAAAAGTTGGTATTCATTCAAGGATGAGCTTCTCTTAGCACTTTTGACAGAAAGAAAGAAAAACAGTTGATTCAAACAAGTACCACTCTCAGACCAACTGAAGGCAGGAATTGACAAATTAGTTAAGAGACATAATATTGCATCAGGATAATGCTAGATTGCATGTTTCTTTGGTGACTAGGTCTGCAGCTTGGCTGGAAACTGTTTACTCAACTATTTTATGCAGAAGATATTGTACCTTTGAATTCCAATTTATTCCAGTCTTTACAGAATTGTCTTAATGAAAAAATATCAATTCCCTGGAAGACTGCAAAAAGGCACCTAGAACAATTCTTTGCTGAGAAAAATAAAAATTTCTGGGAGGATGGAATTATGAAGTTGGCTGAAAGATGGCAAGCAATAGTGGAACGAAATGGTAAATATAATATTCAATGAAATTATTGAAAATAGAAATAAAAACTAAATTTCACTTGCTAAACTGAACGAACCTTTTGCTCAGCCCAATATTTGTTTCTTCCCAAAGAAAATTTAAATACCTTTATAAATAAATGGATTTGACAGGTGAAATATTACTAAAACAAAATAAATAGACAATTTATTTTTTTATGGCAACAGTTGCCATATTGTATGTTCTCTTTATTCCTACTAGAATCTTTTTCAACATATTATTTCTTGAGCTTTTGGGAGATTTGCTTAGTTTAGCATGCACACGTACAAGTTTTTACATTTTTCTTTGTGCATTTATAGTTTGCTATATTATTTACTTGTTAGTTTGTATGGATGTTGTAATTAGGCATTTATATACAGACAATTCCAGCTTGTATTTTGGTTGCAATTTGATATATAAGCTGACTCTTGTTTTTGAGGCTAACAGTCTTATAAACTGAAGGTTAGTGAAATTAAAACAATTTTTAGTGCTCCTACTCTTGCCTTTACTTTGTAAACCTCTTAATATCGCATTCACAGTGAATCAGGATTAGTAAAAACTGAAAGCTCTATTTTCTGCTCCAATTGATCGTCTTTACTCTAGTTGAATTTAAGCTCTATATTAATAAAAAGATAATTGATAAAAGTTAAAAATGCAAAACTATCAATTCTATATCCTTTATTACAGTTCCAGCTCAAATCAGAAAAAATTGTTAAAATAAAGTGGAAAGTTAATTTTTGACGTTTTCAGCTTAGATTTGCCAAAATGCATTTAAAAACATCTTGAACACTTAAGTTAGTCCTTTTTACTTAATTGTTTATACTATTTCCTTGTATGAAAAACCTTGGCCTAAACTACCAAAAAGTTAGCATCATTTTGAAGTACTACACTTTTTATTACTAATGTCATAGTGAGTATTTTTCCTGTCTGATGCTAAGTTTTGCTCCTGAACATTCCTAGCATACAGATACTTTAAACATTTAGTTTTAAAAACCTGACTTCTATGCTAGTCTGTTAAATTTTTTTTGATCATCATATAAAACTTTATAAAAATCTGAATGCTATGATTCGCTAGTTTCAAAACTGATTTGTTTGTTTAGATGGAGATACAGAATATTATACAAGTGCTGCTGGGCTTGCAAATCTTTCAATCCAGGGACAAGAAAATCTTGCTCGCTTAGAAAACATATTTCAAGGAAGTGGAGATGGTGCCATCTCCGCTCCTAATGGTGTGACTATGATCTCAGGTATGGGAAATTTACTTCTTTTTTTCTTTTTTTTAAATGCTTAGTAAAATAGCATTTCAAAATACCACAAATAAAGCAACCTTCCTAAGCTTTTGTTTGGCTGATTATGGTAACAGCAATTGTATATTAATGATACAAGTACTGTATATACTTGTATAAGCAGTCTTCATGTATAATGTGACCCCCCAAATATTTTGCATGAATTTTAACCCCTTCAGAAAAAAGAAAAAAACAAACTTGTCTGTGTATAGTGCAATTGGTACTGAAAATGTATCATTTTTAACCTCTCAAAAAAAAAAAAAAAAACTCTCAGTATATTCTAGTATACAAAATAAATTCAATATGTCAGTTAAAATTTTGTCACTTGTATACATTAAGTGGATATCATCTTAATTGTTTAAAAGAAAAGGAATCTTAAAAAAATTAAATCTTTATTACAATAAATTTTTTTTTTAACTTTTCAGCCAGCAATGGCAATTCTGAAGAACAATCCATGGAAATTGGACAATTTGATGATGCTGATTCTTGAATTGAGAATTGTTAAAAAAAACTTTATCATCTCATTTTTATATATTTTCATGAATAAAATGACATTTATTAAAAGATTTTTTTTTTTTTTTAAACTAGCTAAAAGCCAAATCAATTAGGTAATAAGCAGTTAATCAGTTCAACCAGTTCTGAATATGTTGTGCAAAATATCTCTCTAGATTTCTTTTAAATGCTGCAAATGAACATTACAACTCTCATACTTTGAGAGACAAAATTACAATAAGACTAACCTCTTTTCCTCTATCTCTTTAACTTATTTAATTAGAAGATGGGATAAAGTATAAGAATGAGAGTATCGTTAGTAATGCTATAACTTGTTGCATAAATGCGTACAGCCATAAACAACGGAAAAGATGCATATTCGCTATGTTTGTATTTTATGATACTACATATATTATTATTGGATACATTTAAGTAAAACATCAGTTTTATTAAAATCATGTTGATTTTAAATACAGCTGTACTTTTTGACTGCAGTAAATGTATGTATAGTTTGGTCAACACCATAGCTAATTTTATATCTCGTGTATAAAGCAACCCCCTTAAAATTAGCTTCAAAAGTTGCATAATATGCGAGTATGCAGTATTCATTAAACTAAATACATTTGAATATGGACAAGGACTACTACTATTAATAATAAACATTTTATTTTTGTTAGTCAAACTTTCATTTTATTACAAAGATTTTGTAGGGAAAATATCTGAAAATAGATCAAGAGATGTATCTTGTATATAAACCTTATTACTTGTTCAATAAGATTTTTAAATCAAAATAATTTTATTTTATAAAGGTGAGAAAATTCCCCTCCCTCCCATCTTGAAGAAGCAGCTCCTGGATGAAGTTGTTACACATTTGCACAATGAATTCTGGAACAGCCACTGCAAAGAAAATAATTATTTTCCAACATTACAAAAGTGGCCACTGCAGCTTATTAGGCTTGCTACTTAAATTACTTAATCTAAATAATTATGCATTAGTTTAAATTAATGGTAACTAAAAACTGAAGTTTCTTGAAAGAAAAGAAAAAAGTTATGTTTGATCATTTGGTTTGATTTTGAGTGAACTGGGCAAAGAACTTTTCAGCACCCTCTTATAATATATTTATTTGTAATAACTTAGAAAAAGTTGTTTCAATAGAACTAAACTTGTAGAATTCTTGAATACAGTATAAAAATATGTAGTTTTCATTAAACATTTTTAAGATTAATATTTAAAAAAATACTACTTATATTTATAATAGTGGTCTGCACTGGATTTATATATGTAGGGATACAGTTTATAATTCAAACTTTCAATAGTTTTAATAGTTCTGCCAATAATAATAAAAAAAAAAAGAAAATCACACAATACTCACTATTCATTCTTCCTCATCTGATAATAATGTTTCACATATTCTGAACGTCCAAGCAACTCCACAAATTCCTCATCATGAGTAATGACCACTAGCTGGAAATTACGCTGTCTTTCACGACTCTTGATAATACTAAATAGAAACAAACAATTTCCGTAAGTGACTTGCTAAAATCTGCCTTATTCATAAATTAACAAAGCACACATTAACATTTTCATAAAAAGTTGAAGCACACGTGACAAAAAAAACAGTTTTAACATGTCACAAAGCAATTATAGATAATATTTTTATGTAAGTTCCTAATCTTATATGGTCAATATTATTTTTGTCAGGTAAATGATTATTTTGAGAAGAAATCTTTGTATTCCAACTTTTGCTGTTAGGTTAATGGATGTTTAGCAATAGTAATCTCTCCCATATAATGTCTGCAGTCACCAATGTACTATCAACTAATGTCTTGTTGCTTCCCTGTCCCTCCCTTTTTTTTTTTTTTTTCATCACTCAAGTCACCAATTGTATATATAATAAAAAAAAAAAAGTACCTAAAATGTTTATTTATACATGGAAATTATTATTATTTTCTTTAAACCATTATCTTTCAAATAGAAAGAAAATTTAAGTTCAAAGAAAGCATTTTGTTTTTCTTTGAAAGCCTGGTGGTGCCTAAAATAAACCGTTCATATATTGATTCTATGAATAATACTTAATTTGTCAGAAGTGAGGGGGAGAATATTCCTCTTAAATATAAAGAAAAAGTGTGTTTGTTTCTTTTTTTTTTTAAGAATGGAATTGCAAACTGATGTACTAAAGGCCTTTCCATTCAAGTAATAGGATTACTATTACTTGAATTTATACCAATTTTAGTATTTACCATATAATTTTCAGAGGGGAAGATCATTCAAAAAAACAAACCCCAATTGTCTGCTAAGGGAGAATCTGCATTTTTATTAATTTTTTTTTTTTTTTTTTAGGTAATTTTTTCAAAACATTTTTATTATACATACTTGTTTCTTCCTCACATTTATTTCAAAATATGTAACAGCATCTAGTCTGCATCTATTTATTTACCATCAAATCATATTTTCCAACCATTTTGATTACTTGGTACAATGACACAGCGAATAGCCTCTCCACCTATCAAGTAATTGCCAAAGATGTTTGTTTATAAAAACAGTTCTAATGCAGTGTAGTAAAGTGTATAAACATATATTTAAATTTACTTATGTTATAATATGAATATTTATTTTTCACACACTTTGAATATGAAAGTGTTTATTTGTATACACATACTGAATTTCTTATTAAAAATGTCGTAAAAACAGAAAAATGGCCCCTAGCTCAAGAACACCTTGTTAAATTTTGATAAAATTTGGCACTGCACTTGGCAGAGGTTCAAGGTACGATATGCTTCTAAAGTGGTTGGAATATTATATATCATTTAAGCTGTACCTTGGGAACAAACATACAAGATTAGATTTTGAGTATTATATAGTTATAATTTTCTCAGTTGTCATGAAACCTAATACTTACTCAACTAATGCATTTGCAAGACTCTCAATATTTTCTCTGTCCAAATTGGTTGTTGGTTCATCCAAGGAAAGTATGCCACAATTCAGACAAAATGTCTCAGCAAGAGCCAAGCGGATAATCAGAGAGGCCAGCACCTGAGGAGGGGAGCAAAAATGGGGCATTATAGTATACTAATAAGACTTGAGGATACATTTGAATAATTGGAAATTTCTTTCTTCACTGCTTCTATATGGAAACACCTGAAGTGTTGCAATTTAAAATAAAAAAATAACGGTTAATAACATCATTATTATATTCATCTAAAGGGAAAACTGCAATCTCCAAAGCTGTCTTTTCAAGTGACTGGAGTTCACAAATTTAACAATACATTTTTTTGTCTTCCAATAATTTTTTTTTTTCATAGACAGGATCTAAAATCTTGATTTTTCACAACAGGCAAAACCACTTTGAATACTGATTCAATACATTCTACAATCATTTGATCTTATACAAAGTGATACCTATAAGTATCGTCTTGACCTGATATCACACCAAACGAAACTTAGTAAATATCATGGGACAAAAAATAGGCAAAATGCAGGTTTTCAATTTTTTTTTATAAGCTCAATCTTTTCAATCACAATCTGTTGAAATTAAATTCATTTACTCAATGTTTTGTGGACAATATCTTGTTCATTTTCAAAATAGAATTTAAATACTGTGCAAATGTACCTTTTGTCCTGCACTACAGCGGCCCCTCATATCCAGAGCTGTATCCCCTTTAATCATCACTACACGGTAGTTGTAGCTGCGACGACTTTTCATAATTCCACTTTCATCTTCATCAGACCTGATCTCAATTGTTTCAATATCTGCAATTATAAAAGGACTTACCCTAGAGCAAAATTTTCACTTTATCATCTTACATTTACAAGGTGAAAATTTTAATGGCTGCCAAAACATACAGACAAGAAAACAAGCCTGTATGGTAGTACCATAATTTTGGTAGAGGTCAGTAACTATTTGTATTAGTTAAAATAAGTCAACTGTCATTGCATCCAAGTTTAGCCACCAGAACTCTTATTTTTGAGAAAAGACATCTGCTGTTCATGAGCTTAACTTTGATTTTTTTTTTTTTATAAGGATACCAATCATCCATGACTTGTGAACTTTTCCCCCCTCATCCTAAAATTACTTTTTCTTTCTTACATAAATTCATCTGTATGTGTTAGACTAAAGTGAATATTTCTAAAACAATTTTCCCATGTTATCTATATATATATATATATATATAATTGTTAACAAAAGGATTTTCTTTACTTTGTATCATCAAATTTATCCCACTCTTATTTATTTTGGGGAGTCCCACAATTATGGTCTTGCACCCAAACTCAGCTACACATAGTAATATCTACAGTGGCTTTAAACTTTCTTAAATGTTAAAGTGCATTCCATAAAAATGTATATAAAAAGAGGAAAATAAGATGAATGTATCTAACCATTTCCTTTGTAGGTATTCCTCCAAAGATCCCGGATGATCATGTTGATTTCATCCATTTTCATATTGTGGTATTTCATAATAGCCCTATAAAAGAAAAATACCAATAAGTATTATAAATTATTAATACTATTCTATGCAAAAGAAAAGGTTTGTATAAAGTGAGATTGATTGATTTTTGTAGGATTTTTTAAGCAAATTAAACTATATTGTACTTTTTACAGAAAAATTCTGTTGGAAACAAAGAAAAATGCTGGATTGCTGTTTTTCCTTTTCACCCTAAGCAAGGTGACAATGTTTCTAGAATGCATAAAGATTACAGGGAGTGAAAGAGAATGACAAAACTGAGAATTGAGGAAAGGACAAAAAAAAAGGGGGGGGACAGGGTTCAAGAAGACAGAATGGTGATTGACATTGCATTTAGAATTTTGAAGATTGTAGTTATCAGGGAAGCAAGAAATTAAGAGGGAGTTCCACAGGTGTGAAGTGTGAGAAAAGAAAGTGTTAGAGTGGTGGTTACATCTATCTAGTTCAACAATAAAATGATGAAACTTAGTTTCCAATCTAGTAGCACACTTAAATTCATGTTGTTGAGAAAATTACAGATCCTTCTTTGGATTTTACCAAAATCACAAAATGTACAGCAGGAGCACCATACAAGATATGACAAATGATAGATTTATAAATGTGCAAGATGGATTCTGTTGAGAAAAATTTGGGGACACAACACTGTGAACCAACTTTGTCCAGCATTCACTGCCATATAAGAGGATGGATAATCTCACCACAAATGAGAAACTTGGAGGCAACAGAAATGTGATTCTACAGAAGGATACTAAGAATTCTATGGACAAAGTAATCAATGAGGAAGCTTTAAGGAAAATGGCAACAAAAAGAACATATTCAGAATCAGAAAGAGACAACTGAAATTTCTTGGATACACAATGAGGAAGGAGGGTTTGGAAAACTTAATGTCCACAGGGTATATTGAGGACAAAAGGTAGTGGAAAGCAGTGAGCCACCTACCTTATGAGCTTGTGTGAATGGATGGTGGAACTGGGGGCATGGATCTTGGCAAAGGTAGATGCACTGCTAAGGGCCACCGGGGTTAGAAAGTTGTGGAGAGCCATGATAGCCCATGTGCTGGAGGTGCACGGCACATAGAAGAGCTTAATTATCATTTAAAAAAATTTAGGCAATCTTGGAGCTTCCCACTCACAATATAATAAATAAATAATGATTAATATTTTTGTTGCAAATTCTCAAGAAAAAAAAATGTATAATTCACTTTCATATGTTTAGGTTTTATTACAATTCTAATCATCACCTTTTAAAATAATAAACATTGCCAAGGAGTGAAGGTAGTTAAAATAATAGTGGTGTCAAGGGAAAAAAACGTCACTCCATTTTTTTTTTTTTTTTTGCAGCCAAAATTTATTTTATAACTTTCTTAGTTATTATGAGTAAGATTTGAATGAGCCAAACAAATATGTAATCATTCACTAATCAAACAAGTTTGTTGCCAGTAATTGGGATGAAACATATTCCTAAAACAACTTAACCTGAAGCAAGAACTCAGAAATCTCTATAACCCATTAAAGGAATTGACATGGTTATTATTTGACACAAAGGAAAGCAAAGTGATTTTGAAAAACAATTAGTCAAAACCAGGAAATAAATATAAAAAGTGTGTAAGAATTGGTCAGCAGTACACACAAACAAAACTATATACAAATCCAATGGACAAAACAGTGGTATACAGTCCGATAGGCAAATCAATTCCACAAATGCTATCTCCGTTCCTCAATCTCAGGTAAGCAACTCCTCTTGCCAAAAACAAGACTGTCGTTTGAATGAGCATACTGTGCTTTTATGCACCTGACCAGCCATCACTCAGCCAATGAGCACCCACAACCACCCAATAAAACTGGCTACAAGTGACATCACCACTTCCGTCCACATAAAGTGCTGCCTGATTCACCTTCAGTCTGAAGCTCGCCAATTTGTCATCACACACTATTGCAAAACATGCATGTGACTTTGGCCCTTTTGGGTCACTGAGGTAAGTCTCCACTACACTCCCCCAATCTCCTGATCTCAGCTGATGCATCTCAAGGCAGAGTACTCCTTCAAAGAGGAACAAGTCTCATTCTCAGACAAACTACTTACAGCCACATCACGTTGAAAAACCAGTTCCCATATGATCACCAAAGTTAAGCAATGTTGGGCCTGGTCAGTAAATAGATGGGTGATTGCTTGGAAATATCAGGTGCTGTAAACTTGGATGTGCAGGTGGTGTAATGGAATTGTTAATCCAAGAGCCAAGTTCCAATTTGAATTGGAACTTAGCTCTCTGATTAACAATTCCGGTCAGGTTCCTTATATTCATTTGCACACAAATACCCTTGGGAAAGGTATGAATCTACCTCTCTCTCCCAGCTATAGGTTAATTAGTCAGACTTGTATCACCAAACCATTACCTTAAAAAAAAAAAATTCTTACAAACCTGTAACCCTCATTTTTTAAACCTCAGTAAGTGAATTAAGTCAGAAGCTGTAGTTTTTTTTTTTTTTTTTTTTTTTTGTGAACTGTTAATTCATTCTCAACTTTATGTTTTGCCTATACTGTTGTTTCATTTGATATATATACACATTATTTCTCAGTTTGGAAACCCTCCCCCTTGACTGAAGTTTCTCTCTTACCAGCCTAAAATTTGAGAATCACTGTGTTAAACAATGGAAAGTAGACATGCATAATCAAAAAATGTGGTGGGTCACAGACTGCAAGAATAAATGTAAATTATTGGGTATAAGTAAGAAACAGATATATATATAGAGAGAGAGAGACAGATGGCGAGAAAATTCCTTTTCTTTTTCTATGGAGTGTTAAAAGGATTAATTATATAGAAACAAAGATGGTGAAATATTGGTTGAATAAAACCATGCTTCCACAAAACTGAAATTCTGATTAATTTATTTTAATGAGCACAAAAATTTCCCTATTTTGAAAACCTCGTGGGCTACACTGGGTTGTCTTGAAGGCCACATGCAGCCCTGATGTAAAGATAAAAATGATTTGTTCAAGACTAATGATTTGTTCAAGACTAGTGATTTGTTTCTGCACTTTTCTTTTGGTCAAACTTTCTTTATGCTAGTGGACTTGAGAAAGAAATATATTTTCAGGAATTTATAGCTGAAAAATTTGATGTCTTTTGTTTTTCTTTTTTTTAAAAAAAAAAAAAAGAAAAACAAAAGACATCAAAAAGAAAGAAAATTTTACTCACTTATCTAAGGCAGCATAGTATTTCTGCAAATCAAAATTGGACATCTCAGTTGTCTGCAAAGATAAAGATTCAATCAATAAAACTGATAATAATGAACTATCTCATCCTACCAGTTTCAATATAATTACTAATGATTCAGTTTAGCAGAATAAAGCTTCTTATGTTGATATTTGGCATTGTCTATTCATTACAATTTATTCAGCTAAACTTGCTAGTCCAATGTAACAATAGAATGCGGGCTCTATCTAAAGAAACTAAACACTGATCCCAATTCGCCTGATGCTGAGAGGAGGTATCACCACTGGTGAAGAATCTTTAAGAATTTTCTGGAGGACGGTCATGGTGCTACTTGCAATAAACTGCATTACTTAATGAAATTCACATCTGAATTTTTTTCCAAAGTGACTACCTTTTGAGGAAGCTCTGGGAACCCTGGATAAATTATATATCAAGAAAAAAAAAACAAAATGATCTTGAGACATCAGCATGCTACCAGCTCTCAGCAGCTTCCCGATTCTATCGATAATTTCCTCAAGGAACCCAACATAGTAAGAACTGTACCTTTACCTATGTCTCAGCTGATCAGTATTAGGCGGAATTGGTGAGAAATGCTTTCATTAACAGACTGCTATCAGTAAACATCTGGCAGCACCTATTGGAACAAGAAAGTCTCACCCTCCAGCAGGCATACAAATTAGCTAAAGCATCAGAGGTGACCCAACAAAATCTAGCATTCACTACCTCCCTGGGTTCTGTAATTACGCAGACAAGAAACCTATTTTTGCACCCCTCATCCTTTGGAACCCCTACATTGATAACCTGATGGTATGCAGGCTGGACCTGTATGGATACCGTCAGGTTATCAATGTAGGTGAACATGCTTTTTAGTTGCTCTTTCTCAATTATTTCATCTATGATTCTCTGGAAATGGGCTACCCCATTAGTTATGCCAAATGGGATCCTGTAGAACTGATACAGGCAGCATCCAGCTTCAAAGGCCATATATGGTCTATCACAGGGTTTAATAGCTACATGATGATAAGTGCTTCATAGATTATGAGTGTTGTACACTCAATATATGGCTATTTCTCCGAGCATATCATCTATGAGATATAGAGTGTAAGCATCTAGTAACGTGAATTTGTTGATGGTTTGTGAATAACCAATAACCATTCTTTTCTTATGGTTTTCAATAGAACTGATGGGACCTGGGCTCTCCAAGGAAAGTTGCTTGGATCTATAGTTCCTTCTTTTAACATTTGCTTGATCTCTGTACTAATGAACGATTGATCCTCTCTGGAATAATGCTTTGATTTCACTGTGATAAGTCTACAGTCTGGTGTCAGATTAGAAAAACGAGAGCTGGGTAAGGTGTGTTAATTTTAGTAAGGCTGCATTTTAATGGTAAGTTGGGCACCCAAATGGTATTTCAACATGGGAATGTTGCTGAAGAAAATTTTGGCCCAATATTTATTATACCATTACATAGAGTTTTCATTGTTAGAAGTTTTACATTTTCATAGATAACTCCTTTTACTTTTAGTTCCATATAGCAAAATCCAAGTACTTGAGTTGACAATGCACTGTTGACTATTGTTACTGCATTGACACCTGGAAAGATTTTCCACCAGTTGGCTTTTTCTGTTTTCAAATCCACAAAATCCTCAAAGCTGCCTGTATCCACCAGAGCATTTAGCGGTAGACAATTGGCCTCTAGTTTTATGATGGCATCCAATAAGCAACTAAAACCTAAAACAATTCATGATAGCTGTAAATAAATACTTCAGACGGAACAAAATTGACAGCTATATTGTCATTAAGAATTATATGAATCCAGACCCATTTATGATAGCACATTCTTGCTAAGATGAACACTGGGAATATTTGCCCATTGGATTCCATCATTTTCAGATAAAGTCCAACTACTGACAGAAAATTTTTACTTTTCCTCTTCTCCTCATGCCATCAGAGCATTCAAGGAATTAAAAGAAAATTTCAAAAACACAACTGTTGCTACTATCAACCCATCTGTGCCTCTAGTAGTAGAAATGGATGTCAGACTGTGCCATTGACACCTCATTGAGATGATCAGGATGATGTATAGCATGAATCTCTAAGAAAGTCATGGCATTACCTACTAGGCGGCCACTTCAAATTAACAGTGGATCAAAAGTCAACAATAAAGTAACAAATAAAGTGAAAAATGAGAAAATAATCCAGTGGTTGATAGAACTCACCTGTTTCTCATTTGATGTCACATACCACCCTGGTAAACAAAACACAGTGGTTGATGCACTTTCAAGAATGTACAGTGTGATAATTTGCAAAAAAAGGCCTCCTTAAACTACACAAAGGTTCATGCCACCTGGGCGTAACAAAAATGTTACATTTAACTAGAATTAGAAAACCTCCTTTCTCCATAGAAGATGTAAAAGAAACTATAAGGAACTGCTGGATATGTGCTTAACTAAAACCAAAATTTTCATAGACATGGGAATGGTGGTAAAAGCCATGCAACCATGTGAGAGGCTTGGCCTGGATTTTAAGGGTCCACTCCTGTCTAAAACTAAAAAGAAATATCTATTAACAATAATAGATGAATTCTCGTGCTTCCTATTCACGATTCCCTGTCCTTATATAAAAATAAAAATAATAATTCAGGCTCTCTGTCCCCTCTTCTCTATATTCACTTAAACTGAGGGAATGACTATGTTTGATCAGATCAGATAGTTCCTATGTGAACAAGGAATAACCACTAGTAGGACTACTCTATATAACCTGCAGAGTAACAGTTAATATGAGAGATATAACAGCATGATTTGGAAAACTATACAATTAACAGTGGCCAACAATGGGTACTCCATTCATGCCATGACATCACTACTATGTAACAAAAGGCTACCCCACACAAAAGATTCTTTTCATTTCTGAGAAGATGCTCTATGGGCACTTCACTGACATCATAGTTGTCACAACCAGGGACAGTGCTATCAAAACAACATGTATACCAGAATAAGCAAGAACCACTATAAGATAGACTGGAACTGATAGAAGCTAATCCTCAATATGCTTTAATGCGCTTACACTGATGTAAGGCAAGAAATGGTCTCTCTAAGAGAACTTGCCCTGGTGGAAGTGGGAGGTGAACCAGAAACCTCTCAAGAGCCCAGGATGCCAGCCTCTGACACTCAACTGATGACTCTGGGGACTACTTGCAATCTCCTAGCCCTGGATCCTTGTGATATGAATCAAGCACAGATGAGCAATCAATGTCACAAAAACAGGTCCATCCTAACAGATAATACTGACACTGAGGGTGGACTAAACTATTAGTGTAGAAGGCGGAAGTGGAATAAAGTGAGATTCTCTACATCGAACCCCAGAAAAACAACAGCTCGGAGATCTCCTTCAAGAAAACCCGGAAGATCCTGACAAACTTGAACCACTGCAAAGGACCCACAAGATGGCAGGGGTATCTGAAGGATTTTCTCCTGTATGAGTAAAACAATAACCAGGGGAGAATGTGATAATAATGAACCTAACCCATCCTACCCATTTCAATACTAACCGCCCTATATAAAAGCTGTCTAATTATTAAGATCAGTTTTGCTGAATAAAGCTTCTTAAGTTGATATTCAGCATTTTCTATTCATTAAAAAAACTGTAATTACAACTGTACAAAATAAAATCACAAAGCAAAGCAGGTTTATTTTAGTTTGGTCTTTAAAATTACCTTCTTTTTTTCTGAGCTCAAATACTGTGAGTATATGGCTCTGATAAAATAGTCACTAAAGTTATTCTGTATAAAACCTTTCACAACCTTTTTCAAATCTAATTTGACCAATTCAGTTATTTAGTAGAGTGCAAAAAGAGAGAATGCAGTTGCCAATTTATTGCTGCTGGCCAGATGAAAGAGAAACTTCCTGGGATGTGAGTATGATGAAAAAAAAAAAAAAAAAAAAAAAAAAAAAAACGTATTTTAGCTGCAGCAATAC